ATGCCTATTTCAAAAGGTACTCATTCGACAAAAATTCAAAACAGAAATTGTATAAACAGTTAGAATCCTAGGACAGTACACAGACGAGAGCTTCAAAAAAAACATAGATCTACAATAATCAAGAAAAATAATCTCCATCCAAGTACTTGGAGTTCAAATAAATTAAACTACCATAGCATGCATTTATAAATTTAAAGAAAAAAATGTAGAAAAACGAACATCCTAATGCTCAGATCTACAATAGATTTTGTGTTCTTAGACTTTAAATTGAAAAAAATAAGCAAGATAATCTACAAATACTTCAGTAAATTAAACAAATTAGATAGATTTGATAGATGAATCATACTTACCACGGCTTAGGTTTACGTTAGTAGGCTTGCTAGATTTAGGATGCTTGGACAGTGGTTGCTTCACAAATTTGGTAAAGGAACTAAGATAGAGACAGAGATGTAATAGAGAGATAGATAGATGCAGAGAGATAGCGACGGTGAGGAAGGGATTATGTGTGGGTGAGATCATCTGGAAATGAATAGATATATGCAGAGAGATAGTGACGGTGAGAAGGATAGATGTGAGGATGATCCAGATCTGTCTTTTATGTGTGGGATTTGGCTTTATTATATATATATATATATATATATATATATATATATATATATATATCCGGATCAGGTGAGGACCTAATCTTAGGTGAGGACGTGAGGACTAATCTAGACCATTAAATCAGAATGATGTATGATTGAGATTAAAAGAAACAAATTACACGGATTAAGAAAACAAATCCCTTTAAAATATTAAAATATATAAATTTAGGGTAAATCAGTCTTATTAAAAGATGTGCATTCCTATACAAAATGTTGTGCATTCCTATACTGAGTGTTGTGTATCAATAACTTGATTGTTGTGCATTCAAACCCCGCCAAAAAATCATACAGTGAACATCCAATGTTCTACGATGCATTGAACTATGTGCTATAATGCACAACTCCCTAGCCTATAGTGCACAAATTACAACACTAGGTTGCATAATCAGCACACACGAATGCACAATCGTACTACCCAGGCATTTATACATATACACGACAATCCAAATATAGACAATATTATACTCAAAAGAACAAGCGAAAAAAAAATAAAAAATACTGATTAGTTTGCATGGGCGAACACTCAATCAATGGTGAAGAAATCGCGGCTCCAAATTGCAACGGTGATGATCCAAGAAAATAGGAAACCAATTTGGCCAAGGACTATACATGCGTTCACACTTAAAAAAATAGAAAAAGACACTATTATCTCACTTTAACAAAAAAGATCAATCCATGTCATCTCAAGAACTCAAATTTGGACCATCCAAATAAAAAAATAAACGCACAAGATTAGTCCTCACGTCCTCACCTAAGATTAGGTCCTCACCTGATCCGGATTCTATATATATATATATATATATATATATATATATATATATATATATATATATATATATATATATAGAGAGAGAGAGAGAGAGAGAGAGGTTTATATATATCTATTTGTATAAAGAAATAGATTAAAAAAAAGTATAGAGATTAATTAATATATAGAGCGTTTATATTACAGATTTTGATATAATGGGTATTTTGTACTGCTTTTATTTTTTAAAATTCTATTTAATTGTGTTTGTAGAGAATGAAAATAGCGCGTTTCAAGAAAATTTAAGTTGCCAACAAATCTCAACGGATTACCATTCAATCAAAATAAACGTCATGTGTTTGGAGTTTTTCAAGCATCACTATCCACTCCCTTGAGTGTAGTCTGTAACGGTTAGTATTTAATTTTTCTACATCATATACTTGTGTATTTCTAACAATAAGTATAACTTTGTAGGAGAAACTTCTATCACCAATTTTGTCATTGACAATGGTAATCGTACTCCATTGACTGAGTTGCCAATTACACCTATAATGTGTCATTCTACAGGTATAATAATAATTTAAATTCAAATATGATCATTAATAATAACTTTTTTTTTCATATTTTTGGTAAATTTAAATCTTATGTCGATTTTTTAAAAAAATCATATATATGTCATAGCAACGAAATAGTACATGGTACTACTTATCTTCTCCTCAAAATCAGCTAAACAACATGGATATATCAACAATCCGACACGCAGACAAATTAGTTCCCTTAGTAATGGTTAGTATATTTCAATTTTGCTTACTTTAATAAAAAAACTTTGGATTGCATATTAAGTTTTTTTTTTTTTTTTTTTTTTTTAGTTGTGAATTTGTGTCAAGCAATATGTGTACTTTATGGACATTTGTTAATTATTATCTTTTCTTATTTTGTAGAGAATTCTACTCGGGAGATGCGGCAGTCAATTAGTTCAATAAAGTCAAAAGTGATTAGTGAAAATAGACTTCACGAAAAAAATGGTGACATTTGTACAACCATCAATTGCTACTCCAAGTACTATATTGAATTCCGGTTAGTTTAGTTCACAACTTCACATAATGAATCATGTTTATAATTATTGTAATTGTGTGTTCTTTTGGAACATAAAAGTACAAGAGAATGAGTATCTAACTATATATTCAATCTAATATTCTTCTATCCAAAACAGGCGGAGCGCAAAAACATTCAGTATCTGACTCACTGAATACACATGATACTTATAATACGAATAGAGTATCAAGTACGTCATTTACGAATCATATATTTTATTTAACCATTCAAGTAACAAAATTCTTGAAAGTTATGACTTATTTGTTTTTATATGATTATTATAAATAGGGAGCCAACTCACTACCGAACCGATCAACCATAAGATTACAAGCAAGTTAACACATATTAGGAGTGATTATTCAACTGAATGTCGAAACCTACACATTGAGTTCAACGAAGCAATTGAACATGAGCAAACCACACCTAATATTCCAGTTGGTTAGTTTCGCAAGTACAAGTGCCAAAATATGCTTATATGTTGTTGCATCAAGAATAAGCAACCTAGATGGCCTCAAAATATTAATTTATGGTGAAGTACAAAATAGTGGTACTTCTACCACTAATGTAGTTTACAAATGGGTTTTTAATAATTTGTAATTTAATCTTTCTTTCAATAATTTAATATGTTATTTTCCCTGTTTCTTTTGGGTACAACAACGCTTTATTTTTTTTTTTCATTTTGAAACAATACTTTATTTAAGAAAAAAAATTGTATTAACCCCGTGCATCGCACGTGACAATATCTAGTATATATAATACAACAATAATAATGTCAATAATGATGCTGACCGTTACATTCTCTAATCATAATGTCTAGATTTTAATATTATTTATAACATACAAGATTATTAATTTCGTTTGTATGTGGATGATAGCAGCTTTGCTTTTATTTTATTGAGAGTGGGAAGTGGGATGATCCCAATTTGAGGGCCCAAAGTGAGCAGGGAGATACATGTCTTTATATCATGGGCTAATAAATTCAAACTATGGTCTTAGCTGAATTCTTTGTTAAACTGGGCTTTTCATTCAAATTGAAATTCTATTTGAAGGTAGTCTCTATAGAGAGAATAAGCGAACATGATATTATGAAAAGGAAGAGGGCTTTAAATAGCCTGAGTACACCAGCTCTTAAGCTAATAATATGGAGAATAAGTCAACGCTAATAATATGGAGACTAACTCTAACAGAGCCAGACAAAGTCTAACCACTTAAAATCAAGTAAAATAAACTGAACTAATATACTACTCCTTTACACGCCCCCGCAAGATGGTGGATCCATCGGAGACACCCAGCTTGGAACGGAAGCCTTCAAATGACCGACGCGGTAGCAATTTGGTAAGCACATCGGCAATCTGATCTTGTGTACGGATATAGCTAACTGACAATGTACCATTACTAACAAGATCACGCACAAAAAAATAATCTAAGGCTAGATGCTTCATTCTAGAGTGATACACCGGGTTTTTGCAAACATAAGTGGCACCAACATTGTCACAACGCAACACTGGTGGCCTGGTGAGCCGTACCCCAAGATCGAGTAGTAAATTCTGTAACCACACAACTTCTGCCGCAACATTCGCCAGGGCTCTATATTCTGCTTTAGTGGATGAACGAGCCACCACCTTCTGTCGAACAGACTGCCAAGAGATAACATCTGAGCCCAAGTATACAACATAGCCCGTAGTTGACCGCCCACCGTCATGGACACCACCCCAGCTCCCATCCAAAAAAGCAGTGAGATGGAGCTGCACACCACGACGTAAAAATAAACCATGACACAACGTACCTTTAAGATAACGCAACACCCGTTTCACCCCTTGCCAGTGTAGTAGTGAAGGAGAATTCAAAAACTGGGACAACCGATTAACAACAAAACTCACATCTGGTCGAGTAATGGCCAAATATTGTAAACGTCCAACCGCGCGACGGTACAAGGTGCTATCAGCAGGAGATGCACCGTCAGCACCATGCAGTTCAATCGCAGACCCCGGTGTACAAATGGGCTTGACATCTTCCATATTAAACTCTTTAAGGATGTTTGTAACGTATTGAGCCTGAGAAAGGAAAATATCAGTCTTAGTCGATATCACCTCCACACCAAGGAAGTGATGCAACAACCCTAAGTCCTTGAGTGCAAACCGTGCTGCCAGAGAAGTAACAAACTGATCCAAGAAACTCTGTGAATTCCCTGTTAGAACCACATCATCCACATACACCATAAAATATGCAACAACATCATCACTTTGATAGATAAATAAAGAGCAATCCGCCTGAGATTTTCGAAAACTAAAAGAAATAAGAAAGGATGACAACTCCATATACCATGCTCGAGGAGCCTGCTTTAAACCATACAACACCTTTTTCATACGGCACACATGTTTTGGACGTTCAGGATCATAAAATCCCGGTGGCTGTTTCATGTATACCTCTTCTGACAGGGTCCCGTGCAAGAACGCGTTGTTGACATCCAACTGTCGCAACGGCCAGTTAGAGGCTAACGCTAGCGTCATAACAATTCATATCGTTGCCGGCTTTGTAATCGGGCTGAACGTATCAAAGTAGTCCTTGCCTGCTTCTTGTAAATACCCCTTAGCAACCAGCCGGGCTTTATACCGTTCAACAGACCCATCAGGTTTTCGCTTGATTCGGAAAACCCATTTACACCCAATTGGAGTATGAGACGAGGGTGGTACTAACTCCCACGTGTTATTTCGTAGCAACGCCTGATATTCGTCGTTCATAGCATTACACCATTCTGGAGACTTGCGGGCTTGAGTTACAGAGGTCGGCTCTAGTAACGTAGGCAAGTCATGCTTTGTTGTGAAATTAACAAAGTGAGAATTAAAGTACTTGGGATTCTGTAGTCTCACACGTCCTGACCGCCGTAGAGGCTGACTTTGAGGAGCTTGCATATGTGCGACACCTCCTGCAGTTATCTCATCCACAGGTGGCGACATATCTGACTCGGCCAAACTGCTACACACCACATTTTGAGCGCTAGACGATGAAGACTCAGTCGAATTCTGTGGAGTGTCGACTGAGTGACTTCGCTGCTAACTGGAACAAGGCATACTGGTAGCAGAATGGTGATGGGCGAGAGGGGGTTGCGGCATTATGGGAGTGTGTTCAGATGACGGTTGAGAGTTTGTAGAGTTATGGGACTGCGTGGCATCAGGGTGAGTATTGTGATTATGTGAGGCAGCAGGTGAATCAGCATGAGTTTGGGACGGTGGATACATTGTTATGGGTACAGCTGGTGTAGGAGAGAAAATGAGATAAGGAATAAGCTTGTCACCTTTGGTGCTCGCCACATCTATCGGGGAACTCCGCGTCTGTGATAGTGCCTGAAAAGGAAAATCAAACGGGACAAAACGAACATGATGGGATAAATAGACACGTCCTGTCATACGATCGAGACACTTGCATGCAGATTGCGACGTAGAATAACCTATGAATACACACGGCTTTGACCGGGGTTGGATTTTGGAGTTCGTGTAAGGTCTGAGCCAGGGATAACACAAACACCCAAACGGCTGTAGTTTAGAATAGTTCGGTGTAGTGCCAAACAACGCGAGAAAGGGAGATTCATTTTTAAGGACTGGAGTGGGCATTCGATTGATGAGGTATACTGTTGTCTGAAAAGCATACGACCAGTATGCTAGGGGCATAGATGCATGATGGAGCAATGATAACCCAGTTCAACAATATGTCTATGTCGACGTTCAAACATCCCACTATGTTCAGGTGTGTGCGGTGGGCTAGTGAAGTGAGATCTACCACATGAGCTTAACAAAGGTTTTAATTTTTGAAATTCACCACCATTATCTGAAAACAAGGTGTGTATCCTGTGATTAAATGTATTCTTAACTAGTTTTTTGAATTGAGAGAAGACATCATACACATCAGATTTTTTAACTAGAGGAAAAAGCCATATATATCTGGTAAAATGATCCACAAAAATCACATAGTACCGGAACCCATCAACAGACTGTTGTTTTGTACTCCAAACATCTGAGTACAACAATTCGAGAGGTCTCGAACTTGACATTGTGGTTGCATGGAACGGTAATTTATGACTTTTATTACTGAGACAAGACTTACATTGAAAACCCAAAATAGACCGAAACGAAAGATTGGCACTTCTTAGCATTTGAGTCAGTGTTCTACTGGACGGGTGACCGAGGGTATGATGCCAACTAGCAAGACTAGACTTATTGGTTGTATTTATTTGAGGTGGAGATGACAGTGGAACACTATACACATCCTGGACGTTCCTCCTGTGTAGAAGTGGCGCCCCCGTGAGCCGATCCTTCACAACAAAATGAGTGTAAAAAAACTCAACATATACATGATTAGATTTACAGAGTTTTGAAATAAAGACTAAGTTGCGTTGTAGTTGTGGAACACACAGGACATTAGATAGAGTAAGATGACGGGTTTTAGTTGGGAGAGAAGTTTTACCAGTGTGAGATATAGACAGAGAATTACCGTCACCCAAATGGATCTCATCCGGTCCACCGTACTTAGAGAAAGACTGTAGCATAGAAGGGTCCGAGGTGGCATGACGGGACGCACCTGAGTCAAACAACCATGGCGACTGAGAGTTCACGGTTGTAGTGTTCACTGCGGGATTTTTCCCGAACCTATCATCTGTAGAGACATTATTGTCTCTCAAAAAGCGTTGCAGCTTACGGAATTCCCGAGCTTCATGGCCATTGAAATTATAGAATTTGCATACCACATTTCGGCGCCGTTGATTGGAGTTGTTGGACCGTGGGTATTGATAAGACTGCTGACCATTATTATTCCGGTTGGACTTGTAAGCATTTCGACTATTTTGTGAAAAACTAGACTGGCGTTGGGTGGTATTGACCGTAGCAACCAGCGATTGTCTAGCAGCATCTTTCTTCTTCTGTTGCCTTTCAAATTCTGTGAGCACGTCCTTGAGTTCTGAGAATGTAATAGGGATTGGTCGTATACGTGGGGCAGGGACTATGTGATCATAGTCATCATTGAGTTGAGTAAGAATGTAGATTACCAGGTCTTCCTCAGTAATTGGGTTTTGAGCAAGTGCAAGAGCTTCAACAATATTGAACATTTCATCAATATATTCTTCAACTGGACGACCATTTTGAGGATTAGAAGCCAGTTTGGTTTTTAGTGAGACAATGCAAGATGGCGACGAGCTTGCAAAAGTTGTAGTCAATCGTTCCCAGGCGATAACGGAGGATGCCGCGGAAGAGATTAACGGTTGGATAGGGTCGGAGCAGCTCCCTAAAATGGCGTTGAGAATGGTTTGATCTTGTCTAAACCATGTGGTGTACTCTGGATTAGGGTCCTTTTGTGCTGTATCACGGAGTTGAGCAGGAGCTGGGGAGGTACCGTCAATGAAGTCGAGTAAATCAAGTCCAATAAGAGAGGCTTGAATCTGCTTTCTCCAAACTTGAAAGTTGGAAGACATTAATTTAATAGGGAAATTGGCTGGGGCAGTGAGTTGAATGACTTGTTTCTCTGTAGTTGTGGCCATTTAGAGGAAGGCAGGGGAAAAAAAATTAATTTGCTCGTTAGAGTGTGGCTCTGGATACCATATAGAGAGAGTAAGCGAACATGATATTATGAAAAGGAAGAGGGCTTTAAATAGCCTGAGCACACCAGCTCTTAAGCTAATAATATGGAGAATAAGTCTAACGCTAATAATATGGAGACTAACTCTAACAGAGCCAGACAAAGTCTAACCACATAAAATAAAGTAAAATAAACTGAACTAATATACTACTCCTTTACAGTCTCCACTTCTTCAAACAATATATTGCACATTTTTCCCCATCAGCGGGATATTTATCCATATATTACTCAAATCTCTCGTGATGGAGGCAGTGATGGTGGATGCTGGTTCTAAATTTCTCAAAGCCGACTTCGTCGTCCCTAACCAAGTTCCGTCCATGGTACCCTACTCACTCATGCAAAATTATTATCTTTTAATTAATTACTTAGCTGCACGGTTAGGACAACCTCGCATACCTATGAAAATTAATTATTATGGGTTTTCTTTTAAAGATAACTAGCATTTGTACCCGTGTGATGCACGGGCATTAGAGCAACCCCAATAGGGGTTCATCATCAACTTTTAGAACAGTAAAATTTTCTTGGCTCAGCTTTTGACAAATGAGAATGGTAACTTTTGACAATTTCTTCCTCCTGCAAGCAAAAAAAAATCATGTCAACTTAAAAAAAAAATAAAAAATAAAGGGTGAGACGCGCAGGTGCGTCTCACCCTTCTAACACGCGCGCCCGCTAGGGCGTTTAAGAGTGGCTGCCAGTTCACGCGCCCGCTAGGGCGTTTCAGTTGGCGGCCACTCTGAAATTATATTTTTAATTGGCTGTTGCCATTGGCAACGACCATTTTTTCGATCGTTGCCAATGGCAACGGCCATATTTTGTGCAACATCTTTACACACCAAATTTTCAATATTTTCCACCCGTCCAAAATTCACAAATTCCACACAATTTTCAATTTTCACAATCAGCCAATTTAATAACTAATCTTACTCTATATAATATACAAACGTATATACAACAAAATAAACGTAATTTTGGGTCCTTTGTTCTTGTATTCCCCCCAACACCAAGACGCACATAGTAATGTGCACCCCATGCCTCCCAAAACGACGTCGTTTTGTTAATTTCAGGTATAAAATTCTGTGCATTCTATTATATAATTCTGTACATTCGAAACATGAGAATTTTCAGTTATAAAATTTAGTATTTTCTGGTATAAAATTCTATGTTTTCAGGTATAAAATTCTATACATTCGAAACATGGATTTTTTTTTAAAGAGTTAAGAGTTTATGTGTATTATGTTAAGAGTTTATGTATATTATGTATTATGTTAAATTATGTGTATTATCATTTCAAAAAAAGATTATGCGTATTTAGTTATAAAATGCTGTGTTTTCAGGTATAAAATTCTGTGTATTCTATTATACAATTCTGTACATTCGAAACATGAATTTTTTTTAAAGTAGTTAACAACAAACACGCGAAAATGTACAAAACGTCGTTTTGAGCCATGTGCGCTCCGGTGCACGGTATAATTTTTATTTGTATTGGCCCAACAAATGTAACATATAATCTGACAGCCCAAACCGGATAAACCCATCAAACCCATATATAAACACCATTCCCGAACCCTAATGCATTTTATTGTCGACCTTTGGAATTGGTCTTCTGCCTATGTCTTCTCCCTCGAACACAAATAGTTATGCTGGTGCAACCATGTGCACCATGCATGGTGCATACGGTTGCAAAATGACGTCGTTTTGACTAAAAACGCGCGTCCCATTTAAAAAAAAAAAATTCAGTTTTGATTCTCCTCAACATCATTATTGTGGATATATAGTTATGAATTATTGTAGATCTAGAAGACGGCCATGTCCACCTTCCTTCGTTGGCCATGGCTGTCCGTGAAGAAGGAAGACATCCACCAGTTGTCCAGCGCGGACAGCCAATGACTGTTTTTTTTTTAAATTAATTAATTAATTTGTAATAAATAATATTTTTAGTTTTTAAAGTTTTTAATAAATAAAAAACATTTGTTTTAAAAAATAAAATAAGAAGTACACGTGTCAATACCATATCAATTTAACCTTAATTGAATAATTTTATGGATTTAGAGGACTTGAATAGAGCATTTTTCACTTAGGGCTCGTTTGGTTCGTGGAAAATATTTTAAGGAAAGTGGAATTGGAATTCCATGGAAAAACAATTACTAGAAAGATGAATTTCGTTGTTTGGTTGGTGGAAAAAGAATTACTGGGAATACTAATTCTATTGTTTGGTTAGATTTGAAATTGGAAGGAATAATGAGTATAAAGACCTATATGCCCCTATAAATTAATAAAATTAATAAAAGTAATATAATTAAAAAAGAAAGTAAGGGTAAAATAGGCAATCTATTTACTTTTTCTTCCCATCTTCCATGAAAAACAAAATCATTGGTCCAACCAAGGATTTTGTTTTCCTCAAATTTAAGGAATTCAATTTTCAATGGAAAATGAATTCCATGAACCAAACACTAGAAAACAACATTTTTCTTCACTTTAAGGAAAATGTTTTCCTTTGGAAAACATTTTCCATGAACCAAACATCCCCTTAGGGTGCGTTTAGAAACCCCGGAAATGACTTCTGAAAAATATTTTTTGAGTTTTCAATGTTTTGATGTAATAGGAAAATTCAGTCAATGGAAAACATTTTCCGTTGTCTGGAGAAAATGAAGCTATTTTGGTGGAAAAGACTTCCGCCAAAATTTGGGGAAGTCATTTTCCGCCAAAATGTTTAAACATACAATTCTACTCATTTTTCTAGAAAATAAACTAAAAACACTAATAGCACGTTTTGTTCACGGAATGATATTTAATGGAATAGGAATAGTATTCCATAGGGAATGGAATAAGCCAGGGAGATTAGGAATTGTATTCTTTTGTTTGGTTCGTTGAAGGAATAGAGTTTAGAAATATTATTTCAGTGTTAGGTTGATTTAAGGAATATAATAGAATATGTGTTTAAAAGACATAAATACCCCTATACAAAAATGTATTATTAGTATTATTATTATTATTATATATATGTTTTTAATTATTATTATTATTATTATTATTATCATTATTATTATTACATATGTTTTTAAATTATAATAATAATAAATATATTCCACATCACTTTGGAAGTAACCTAATTAGTTTGTTTAATTAATTTATGCTGCATTAGGCATTTAGGCGTGACTGAGTGAGTTTTAAGCTCATTAGGTCTGAAAGAGCAACTAAATTTGAAGGCCTCATGAGTCTTGTTCAAATTAAGAGATTATCCTTGATTCAAGGAGTCTTTCTACAACACCTTGTCAGATAATTATTTTTATCCAAGTATTGTTTGTTCAACATATTTACAGACTCAATTATTATATTCATATTCATTAACAACAAACATATCTTCAGCAGACATCTCATCACTGCAAACTATTTTACTCACTCGATGCCCAAGCAGAATCCTATAGGTTGAATGGTGAAAAATCCGCCTGAATCGTTCAAATTGTCGCATATCAAAGAAGCGTCCAAGTTGGTACATGACAACATCTTCTGCACTAAAACTTAGTCTCGGTCCAAAAGGCCCTTTTTGATGTGATTCAAGTCAATCAGCTAAGAGGAAGTTAGGGACATCCGCAGAAGCACTGAAACGAGGGACGAAGCTGAATGCCTTGGAGAAGAGGGACGGAGACTGTGGGTTCAAGGAGGGCAGTAACGAGCAAGACGAGATCGTATGCTCCGACCAGAAAAGTGAAGACCTGCACGATTTAACAATTTATGAGTATTCTTTATTGTTGATCAATTTATTGTATCATAATTCTTTGAAAAATGATATTGTGTGAATCGAATGCTACAAATTTCTTTGATGCATTGCTAATTTAATTTGCCCAGGAACATGGATTTCTTGATTCAACAATGATGTTGTGTGTACAATTGATTGAGAGTGTTGTAATCTAAACATATTTTAAGTTTAATTAAGGGTAAAGTAGTATATTTTAAATTTAATTAAGGGTAAAGTAGTAAATAAGAAAATTAGTATATTCCTGAGAACTCAGGAATAGGTTAGGTTAATATCAGGGGGCCCTTAGTAATAGCTATTCCCCTTGCAAGGGTAATAGCTCATTCCAAAGAACAATGTTCCTGGAATAAAAAGCATTACCAAACAAAGGAATAAGTCTATTCCCAGGAATACTACTCCATTCCAGACCTATTCCGCAAACTAAACGGCCGGGAATGGCATAGCATTCCCAGTAATAGGCCTATTCCTTTGTTTGGTAACAGTTTCTATTACCGGGAATATTACTCCCGGTAATACCCCATTCCCCCAGATAAGGTAATAGCTAATACCAGGGGCCCCCCTGGTATTAGGTTATTACTGAGTTATTAGGAATAGCTTAAAATTTCTACTTCCTATTTTACCCTCCGTCACCACCACCCCCACCGCCACCAACACCACCAGCACCACCACTGCCACCACCACCACCATCATCGCTACCAGCACCGTCGCCACCACGAGCACCACCAGCACCGCCGCCGCCACCAGCACCACCAGCACCGCCAGCACCACCAGCAGCACCACCACCACCGTCACTACCACCATCACCACCACCGCAACTACCACCACCAGCGCTGCTACCACCACCACCACCGCCGCCGCCGCCACCACCACCGACACCGACACCACAGCCGCCGCCGCCACCACCACCACCACCACCACCACTGCTACCGCCACCGCCGCCGCCATCGACACCACCACATATTTTTATAAGGGTATTTATGCCTTTTAAAACATATTTTATTTCTATTCCTTAAACCAACCAAACACAGTAATATAATTCCTAAAGTCTATTCCTTCCACGAACCAAACAATAGAATACAATTCTTATTCTATTCCTGCCTATTCCATTCCTTATGGAATAGCATTCCTATTACCTCAAAATTCATTCC